CGGTCAACTACCATTGTAGCATCCTCTGCATTACCAACGCTGATGATGATGACCATGGTGACAATGACTATGAGGATGAAGACTGTGATGATAACTATTATTGTAGCATCCTCTGCACCGCCAATGCTGCCTAACAAGAGATGATGATGACCATGATGACAATGATGATAAGGATGAGGGTTGTGATGATAACTACCATCGTAGCATCCTCTGCATCACCAATGCTGCCAAACGCCACACTTGAAATGTAAATAAGAATAAGAGATGATGCTGATGACAAAGGTAGCGATGATGATGATAGTGACTACGAGGAAGATGATGACAAGTGTCATCATAGCACCCCCTGCATTTCCAACTGTGGATCATGATCAAAGGAAGTTTAGAAGGAACTTCCGCGTTACGGCAACTAATTGAAAGCTAGCTCTCTCAGACAAATGACAAGAGAAGGAATAAGCCCGCGATAAAATTCGCGCGCGTGTGGCAGGGGAAGAGAAAGTCGCAAAAAACATGGCCCTGTGCGTGAATCGGCGTTTTTGGAGATGAGAAAGTCGCAAAAAGCGTGGCGCTGTGCGTGAATTGGCGTCTCCGGAGACGCGAAAGCTAGCCTGTCCGCGGCGTCTGGTCGGAGCGGGCTCGGAGCGGTCTCGGAGCGGTCTCGGAGCGGGCTCGGCGCCGGGACGATTGGCACGGCAACGCAGAGGTTTCGCAGGGTTTGAATTGCGTGGCAGGCGCAGCATTTTGGTGAGGTCGGGTGCAGATTTCGTGGCAGGCGCAGCACTTTCGCAAGGTCGACTTTTCTCAAGGATTGAATTGCGTGGCAGGCGCGGCACTTTCGAAAGGTCAGGTGCAGATTTCGTGGCAGGCGCAGCACTTTCGCAAGGTCAAGTGTAGATTTCATGGCAGGCGCAGCACTTTCGCAAGGTCAAGTGCCAGTTTCGTGGCAGGCGCAGCACTTTCGCAAGGTCAAGTACAGATTTCGTGGCAGGCGCGGCGCTTTCGCTAGTTTAGGTACACATTGATAGATAGATAGATAGATAGATAGATAGATAGATAGATAGAGAGATAGATAGATAGATAGGTAGATAGATAGATGGATAGGTAGGGAATACATAGATAGATACAAATAGAGATAAACAGATAGTTAATTAGTTAGATAGACAAATAGATTCATATGTATGTATATATATGTACATATATGTATATAGATATAAAGATAGATAAATGGATAGAAAGATAGGTAGGTAGATAGATGGAAAGAGAGATCGATAGATATATAGATAGATAGATAGATAGATAGATAGATACACAGATAGATTGATAGATAGAGAGAAAGAGAGAGATAGATAGATGGAAATATAGATAAAAGAGGTAGGTAGATAGATAGATAGATAGAGAGATAGACAGATAGAGAGACAAATAGATAGATAGATAGATACATAGATACGCGGGAGATAGATGGAGAGATAGATATAGATAGATAGAAAGAGATAGAGAAAGAGATAGAGAAAGAGATAGAGAGATAAACAGATAGACAGAGAGATCGCAAGAAAGAGAGATAGAGAGATAGATGGAGAGATAAATAATTAGATAGATAAACAAACAGAAGATAGACAGACAGATAGATAGATAGATAGACAGAGAGACAGATAGATAAATACATAGAAAGAGAGATAGAGATAGATAGATAAGGAAATGGATAGAGAAATACATAGATAGATAGATAAATAGATCGATCGACAGATAGAGAGATAGCTAGAGAGATAGATAGAAAGAGATGGAGAAAGAAATAGAAAGATAGAGAGAGAGAGATAGATAGATAGATAGAGAGAGAGAGAGAGCAAGATAGATAGATAGATAGATGAAGAAAGAGATAGAAGATAGAGAGATAGAGAGAGAGATAGATAAATTGAAAGAAACAGAAATAGATAGGTAGATAGGTAGATAGATACATAGATAGATATAGAGATAGATAGAGAGATAAATAAATAGATACACGATAAACAAACAGATAGATAGACAGATACATACATATTTAGATAGATGGAGAGATAGATAAATAGCGAGAAACAGGGATAGAGAGAGATAGATCGATAGGTAGATAGAGAAATAAATAGATAGATAGGTAGACAGATAAGTAGATAGAGAGGTAGATAGATAGATAGATAGATAGGCAGAGAGAATTTGATAGAGATGTAGATAAAGAGATGGATAAATAGGTAAATCTTCAGATAATGAGAAATATAGATAGATAGATAGAGAGATAGAGAAATGGAAAAATACACGTGAGATAATGAGATACAGAGATAGATAGATAGACAGACAGACACACAGATAAAGAGAAAACTAGATAAGTAGACAGACAAATACATAACAAAATATTCATAAACAGATAGATAGAGAGATAGAGACAGATAAATAGATAGATAGCTAGATAGATGGATAGATAGATAGATAGATACGCGGGAGATAGATGGAGAGATAGATGGATAGATAGATAGATATAGATAGATAGAAAGAGATAGAGAAAGAGATAGAGAAAGAGATAGAGAGATAAACAGATAGAAAGAAAATGAGATAGAGAGATAGAAAGATAGAAAGAAAGACAGATAGAGAGATCGATGGAGAGATAAATAGTTAGATAGATAAAGCAACAGAAGATAGATAGACAGATAGATAGAGAGATAGATCGAGAAATAGATAGAAAGAGAGATAGAGATATAGATAGATAGATAGGTAGATGGATAGAGAAATAAATAGATAGATAGATAGATAGATACATAGATAGAGAGGTAAATAGATAGATAGATAGCATCCCCTGCATCTCCAACTGTGCCTAACGTGACTGCATGATGACTGTAAGGATGCTGATGATGAAGGATGATGATGATGATGACAACAATGATGGTGATGATGACGAGCAGCGCCAGCACCACCAGCATCACCAGTGAAACAAATCTGACTCATCCGACCACTTGCAGCTGTGGCCGGATGGAACGGCCTGAGCAACATCTCCAGCGACGCCTGTGTCAGCAGATGACGACGGGGATGATAACTATCATCGTAGCGCCCTCTGCATCACCAGTCCTCCTATTTAGAGATGATGACGACCATTGGTAATAATGATGAAAGCCACATCCAGCCTTTGAATTGTAAATAAGAAAGAGGTAGTCATGACCTTCATCGATGGCAACAATGATGATGATGATGACCCACCAGCATTATCAGTGAAACAAATTTGACTCATCCGACCACTTGCGGAAGTGGTTGGACGGAGAGGCCCGAACAACATCCCCAGCGACGCCTGTGGCAGCAGACGACAACTGTGATGAAAACAAGCATAGAAGCATCCTCTGCGTCACCAATGCTGCCTAATCAGAGATGATGATGACCATGATGATAATAATGAAGGCAACGTCCAGCCTTATATAAGAAAGAGGTAGTCATGACCATCATTGATGACAACAATGATGATGATGACGAGCAGCGCCAGCACCACCAGCATCACCAGTGAAACAAGTCTGAGTCATCCGACCACTTGCGGAAGTGGAGCGGGTCGAGCAAATCCCCAGCAACGCCTGTACCTTTTCCGAGATGATGACGACCATGATGATAATGATGAAAGCCGCTTGACTTTTATATGAGAAAGAGGTAGTCATGATCATCATCACCACTACACATCCCCATGAAGAAATTCCCAGCATCTGCAGCAGTGATGCTGATCTTCGATCACCCTTCCCGGGCGCCTCCCATTTTGAGGAGATGGGGTCGGCGGATTATCCAGGCTGTAGCGGGTAGAACTCATGTCAGGCTTGTGGATCGCTGTTGGGTTTTCCGCCACACTAGGTGCCTCTTTTGACCATCAGTTGGTCCTTTTTGCCCTATCTCTGCCTTTGCGGGGAGCTTGGCTTCGTTTATCTGTCGAAGTAAGAGCAACGAGGGGGGTTCTAAAACCGCGGCCTAGGTGTAGGGGCAGTGATTGCTCTCGGGCCTTTCCGTACTTCGCTCTTAGGGCCAGCGGCGCAGGTGGGGGCTTTTGGTGTGATTGGTTGTTTGAGGCCTTTTCACCTTTTGTTTTTTTTGGCACCTGCAGCGGCGGCCTCGCGAACTCGCTCCCGTCCATACTGCGCACCCTTTTGCGCGTTGCAATTGACCGCTCTTTTAGGTTTGCGTATTGCTTGCCCTGCTGAGAAGGGATCTCCAATCCCTTCTGAGGCTGTTGTTGCTCGTCCGAAAAGGCATGCCGCTTGCCAGGCGGCGCTTGCCCTTTTTTCCATTATGTTAATGTGCCGGTTTGCACATACCACTGCCTGGCAGTCACATTCAACCCTAACCGTTGTGTCTAAGCGTTGTGTGGCGGCATAAAGGATAGACAAGTTTCTTTAGCCCCTTTGACCCGCGACGGTTGGAGCTTTATGGCTTGGTGACGAGTGTCATCTCCTATTACACCATTTTTCGGGCGGGTTAGCGCCTGGAAACAAATACAACCTGGTCAGCTTTCATCCACGTGTAGAATGGCGCAAGGTTGTCCGTTCAAATGGCATGCTGGCCGGCAATCGTCTCACCAGATTGGCATTGCCAGAAAAGCGCGTAGGCAGGCTGGGGACCGCAATGCTAAGCTCACAGCACAATACTTTTGCCTGGCTGGAAGACAAGTCAAACAAATTCAAAGCCATCAGCAACCTGCCTCACACTTTGGAGAGCCAACGGAGGTCAACTTGAAGTTCAATCCTCGGCTTCCGTATTCTAGAGCTGCCTGGGCCATCATCAGTATCAGCACCAACAACTTGATCCTGAAGCCTTTGCAGCTTGGACCAACGCTGCTCAACACCCTGCCAATGCCTTCCTTAGTCTCCTCATTCCGCCTTGCGTGTGAGCGCTTGTGGCATTCTTGCGTAGGTGCCTTCCACTATCTCCTCTTTCGAAGGCATTAGTTTCGGCTTACTGCAATGCAATCAATGTTGGGATGTTGAAGAGTTCTTGTTTCGTGCCAGCTGCGCAAGGATGATGCGTGGCGTCAGTCCATCCAGGAAGTCCAGGAGCGATTGCGGCAGCTGGAGGACGCTGAGATGTTGCTCAAAGTTTTCCACTTTCCGCCGGAGTTGAGTTTTGACTCGTGAAAGTCATGCGCCCCTTTGGGTTGTATTTGGGGTTTTTCCGGGTGAGCGTGCAAGTCCTGGACCGGCTTCTCCATTTCAAAACCCAAACCAGGGTTCCCGAAGTCAGCCAACAACTTCTCACGAGTGCTTGAGACCCCTAAAATCCATGCCAAGTGTAGCGGTTTCTGCTTGTTTCACTGGATTTAGGGGCAAAGTGACTCCTGTTGAGCCTTTACAAGCGTTTGGTAACGCGGTCAAAGGGGCTTGAGTGCTGCTCACTATGAAAGTTGTTTTGTTTGAGGTTCCTTTCTTCCGATTGGTGGTTCGCTTGCTGCCTGGAGGGTGTCTGGGCGGCTCCAGTCGGTGTTTTTGCATCCGCTTCGAGTTGACTCCCGGTTTGTTGTTTGGATGCTGCAGTTCCGCACGCAGCAGACGCAACCACGGTCTTCCAGGAGGCTGTTTGGTCTGTCCGCGCAACTGCTGATCCTCTACAAACAGCAAGTTTGCAAGACATGTGCCTTGCCGTAGGGGTCCAAGACCTGTCGATTGCAAGTTGGAGCGTTCGGCCATTGTCCACAAGAGCCGGGCTTCCGGGAGCCCAAAGAAAAGGCCATGCTGATGCAAATGCGCTTGGTGGCGCAGACGCAGCTGCGCAGTTTTGGCCGCCGGGCTGCGTGATGCTTTGTGGCGCATGTCATGGGGCTGTTTTTTTTGAGCTTTCGCACGTATACGGTTTTCCGATTGGCATGCTTCCGTTGTTGCCGCTTGGCGCAGGTGGTCGCGTGGCGTCCAGAGCCACTGCTTCTACATGCTTCGGGTAATGCTGTAAGACCTGCAATCAGGTACGCTTTGTTCAAAGTAATGCGGGGCCCTCTTTTAATTGACCCCCTCAAACGGTGCCAACAGTGGGATTTGGGCACATACTTGAGTTGGGCATTGCTAAATTTAGTTGTGCCAACACTTAGTTTATCATTGCTCAGATATGTTCAGGGATGGGCTTGAGTTGGGCCAACCACTTTGGCGGGTATGCCTAGCTCACGAGAGCTAATCCCCTGTCGTTGCCTTGGGCATCAGCTTTTCATGCCCAACTTGTTCGGGGGTTCGCCCAAGCGAACCCAATGTTTGGTTGGGCCGCGACATTCGACAGTCCATGACCGGGCAGGTAGGGAATGGTCCAGCGCATGATGAGAAGAGAAGTGGCCCTTTGCGCCGGCAACCCAACATCTTAACGATGAGTTGGCAGGTGCGAACCAACATTACAACTTACTTTTTTTTGCTGGTCCTTTCGGCAAATGATCGCCGAAGATTTTGAACTATTTCCTCTAAGCACCGGTAGAGAGCGCTTGATCCAACCCTAGAGTCCATGTGGCCCCCTGGTCGTTTGCGGACCTTGTGTCCCATGTGTACAAATTGCGTATTGTGTAGACGAATAGAAATTTGGGTTCATACCAAAGGCCAAAACGGTCACCCATCCACAAGGAAATGGATACGTTTGTGTTCGTTCAGAGCCCCTGTTTGACGCTATGTTTCCCTTAAGGCTTAGGGTCGTAACTTCTTAGGCTTCTAAGACGTCAAGGCCCTCGTTCGATTTAGGACCCCTGCCAAAGTGGTTTCCAACTCGAAAGCTTTTCGATGCAGGAGCTGGCGCAAAGGCAGATCGACCGGGAGGCTGCAATCAAAGCCGTAGAAGGGTCAGGGCCCAGGTCTTGATTGTGACTCACTTGGGCTTGCTAGGATGCTCGTAGCGTAGCAGTCACTGGCTCGGGGGGGCTGCACATACGGTCACTTTGTCGCCCTCGTCATGGAGGCAGAGACACGCGCATGATCAGCCACCAATATTTGGCATGGATCCATTCTTGTATGACCTGGTCGTTCTGTTTTGCTGGAAGCATGATTTTTTGCATTTTGGTCTGAAGGATGGAGCAATTCACAACGATTCTGAACCCGAAGCAAATAACACACAAGTTGAGGAAGACGAGGAAAACATGAACATGTATAAATTTCGAAAAACATAAAACCGAGAAGGAGCCCCGGTGACCCTCCTGCTGGCAAGTCTGCAAGACTCCAAGACATCCACAAGCTTCTCCCTCAAGAGGGTGGCTTGCCCAATCGCAGGACCAGACTCCGACGATGAGAGTGAGAGCTCATTCCCCATGTGCCAACATCATCAGGTGATTCAGGGTAATCTCAAACGACAAGCCGGCACCTCGACGAGAGTGACACTAGAGATTCGCAAGGCACAAGACCATACAGAGGTTGCGATCCTGACCACGGCTCCTTGGAGTTCCTGCTTCTCTTTCACGTGTGAAGACCTTGCGGACATTCACAGAAGAGATTCAAAGACAGGGGCAGTGTTGATGACCTTTCCGATGGGAATTTTCGCAAGTCTTCAACAACATCAGCCTTATTGGGAAGAAGAGAACAGAAGCCACCGCATCAGCGCCTAGGGCCTACAACAAGCAGTTCCTCGAAGCCAAGAAGCTTGACAGTCAGTCATGGTTAGACAGTGAAGTTTTCTAGCCTGTGGACAGCAGAAAGCTCAAGGCTTGAAAGTGGGTCACAGGCAGATGGGTTTTTAACCGCTGGTTCCATTTTGCATATGATTGGCGATCATGAAGGAGCTTAGTCTTGGGGTGCCAAAATTGGCTCAGGGCGCGGATGCTTGCGGAAGCTTCTGCGAAGCGCGTTGCAAGATACCTGTTGCCGCGGAAGCCCGCGGAAGCTCTGATCTGCATTTTCTTTCTGGCTTGCTTTGCAGACGGGGAACAAAATGAACAATGTATGTGGCTCAAGCAAACTGCTTTTTGTTGGCGCCGGGTTCTTGGAGAAAAAACCCGCAACTTGCAAGCCACTTTGTCTGGGCCAAACACCTCGTCTCTCTTGCGCGCCAGGGCAAGGGACGAATCGAACCGTTGCATCTGATTTAGCACCGAGGGAGCGGTAGCTTCAGCTTTCCCGTCCTCCTTTGTGAGTCGCAAAAAACCAAAAGCGACTTGTTTGGTGCAGGCAAATTGTTATCTGGCGTGTGAGCCAAGTAAATTGTCGTTCAAGATTCTAAAGATGCAATGCTTTTGGCAAACACATTGGCAAAACATTTGTCTGAGCCAAATGAATCTTGTTTATTCTTCATTTTGTCTGCCAGGGCGAAGCAGGCCAGAGAATAACTTGTTTGGGCCAAACAACTTGTTTCAAATTCTCTGTTTTTGGCTTGCTAGACATGCAAGCAAATTGCCTTTTTGGATTAAACATGAGTTTTGGCTCATTTTTTGCACTTGGTCAGCTGTGAAGAAACAAACGTGACGTGGAGGAACTCCCGCGTGCTAGAAACGACAGGCATTCAGCAAATTGTCGCGCGGGAATGCGCGAACAAAGCTTTGCATTTCCCCCAGCGAAGATTAACAGAAACCTCGCACTTACCGTGGGCAGAAGCCGCGGAAGCAAAAGACTTGTGCGCCACCAAAACCCCGTGCCGCGGAAGCCAGCTGAAGATGCGCGGACACCAGTCCCTTGTTATGACCTGTTGTCCTTTTATTTCTGGCCGCCGCTCATATGGATCTCAAGACATCTTTTCTTCAAGGAGAAGCTATGAGCAGACAAGAGGTCTATTTTTGTCAGATTCCTCCTGAAATGGGATACCCACCTTTTACTCGTGCAAGAATGAAGAAACCAGCATATGGTCTTGGGGATGCACCCTGACGACTCAGCCCGTATACCAACCAGAGCCGGCAGATCTGCTTTCGTGTGCTCCGGCAAGATTCTTCCGACGTCATCCATTTCAAGCGCAAAGATGGCATCATGTTTTGATTGGTCTTGAAAGAGCCGTTGGTTCTTTGATGGGCCCGTTTCAAGGAACAATGCTCATCGAAGACAGGTTCATGGAGCTCATTCAATTCATGTAGATGGTCTTCTCATGTGTGGAGACAATGCGTTTGCAAAGGGAATCGTGGCCAAACTCTGCAAAGGTTTTGAAGTTTGGTCAGAAGTTAAGAGTAGAGTTATCCAATGGAAGAAAGACGACAAAGCAGTGGGCCATCAATGTCCACCAGAATTCTGATATTCGCGCCACCAACAAAGCCTCTCAGCGTGCGTTTGCCACTCAGAGGAAAACGGGATATTGGGCTACCCGAATGCGTCCTATTGCTTCACGCAGAGTGTGTGTCGTTTTTGGCAGACGACCGTGACCTTTCTCAAGGCGCGCGCTTTTCTCACGAGGCTCCTTGATTGACTACGGGACCCACAAGATATCCACAACCGGCTTGTCAACAACTGTTGCAGAACTTCATGCCAGACATTGTAGGAGAGATAGCAGATGTCCACATCAGGACCGATGCCAACAACCTCATGGCGACTGCGTCCACTACACGTCAGCCAGGGCAGAAAGAATACATGCGCCTCATCCGAGAAAAGAAAGAAGTCGCGGACACATGCGCAACTTAGCGCATGACCGCAGCGAGGGCTGCCTCGCAGATTTGTTCACAAAGAACCCAGCTAAGCCAGACGAGTTGATCAAAGCAGTCTTGACCCGTAACCTCCTGAATGTTGATGCTCATCCGCCATTTCGGACAATGTTGCAGAACTAAGCGTTTCTTGTGCCTGGCGCGCAACACAAAACCCAGTCCAACTATCGTAGCGTTTGAAGGAGTTGGGCTGTCAGAAGCCATGCTTGCATACTTTGGCACATGCGCGTGACTCTAGTCGCGTCGCCAGAATTTGTTGCACATCTTCTCCAGGTTTTGGTTTTGACATGGGGCGTTCGTGTGCTTGAGCGTGTTCACATCTGAAGACACTTGTGTCTGCGACCGAACACCTTGGCGCCGCCGAATTATCAACCACCAGCCTTGCCTGAAAGAGAGCCTGGATCCAAGAAAGATGAGACTAGTGACAGCGAATCATCGGCAAGCGCCTGATGAAGGTCACAATGTTTCCTCCTTGGAGAGGACTGCTCTTGGAGCAGAAGGGCCATCTTCCAGGATCCAGGCTGAAGATGAACGGTCCTAAGAAGAACAAGCTCGGACTATGTCCGGGAGACGGTCCTGGAATCAATGATGCCAGAGCAAAGAAATGAGACTGAGGCGACGTCGTCAACAACTAGACCGACGCCAACAAGAACAAGACCGCGCCAGGGACCCCGAAGACATTCAGCAAAGACCCCGGACCACTCTGCATCCCAACAACGAATTCGCCAAGGTGGAGGGCGATGAAAGGAAGAACGTTGTCATCTAAGCGCAAGGCGTTCTACACGAAGCACCAATACAGATTATCGAGGTCTTCCCCTGCCTATGGAAAAGATGAGGCGTTCCTCGGTATGAGCCTCAACCCAGAGCCGTTGGATCGTGACAGGTTTATGTCAGTCCAGAGCCTCGACGCCGAGAAGCCGGTCTACCTTGGGCAGATTTGACCAACACTGGTGTCCAGCAACTACTGGTCAGCGACATGATGACATTCAACAGAGATTGGCCTACTAGCGTTTCATCTAGAAGTTTTGCGCAACGCGTTGCAACTTCAAGGATACCCCAGATCAGTTTGATACGGACCTGCTTCCGACGGTATGCCGCAATGGGCTTGCGGAATGTCAGAAATTTACCCCCACAATGGAAGCCCACACGCGTATCACTGTGCAGCAAAGGTCAGGGACGAGCAGAACGCTCGTAGCGGAAACGCTCGGCAGAATTACTTTGGGCTTTCGGATGAAGCGCCAAACGCCAGGTGTCCAACTGGAGCAAGGTAGTTTGAAGTCTGGCAGGGGTGCAGACGTGCCGCTTTGGCTTGCGCCGGGAACCTGATAAAGACAACAAGTTGCAACAAGGACCAGCCTCCCCTGGCACGCAGATCACCAGTCACGGACAACGAAAGGAGGTTGTCGCACTCAACATCGTGAACCCAGAAGAATTTCATAATCCGACCATGGCTGCTGATGAAGACAGTCTCTTCTATGACCATCAACATATCCACGAGCACGCGCTTATTGGAGATCCATCGCAGACTGGAAAGTATGCTGCAGTCGCAGATGAGATGACCCACCTCTTCTTTCCATTGGTACTCCAACACTATTGCGAGGCTATGGCTGGAGATCTCAACAAGACTGCAACCTCCTGTACGACCAAGGGAGAACTGAAGAACTATATCATCCGTCACGTGGCGTGACGAACGCGCTTGTGGGTGAACTTCGGGCCGGCTCAACGAACACACCAAGGCCAACTGCGCAGCGCTTCTCATCGAACAACGACTCGAAATCAGCGCAGCCCTCGAAGGCTTGGCGCGTCACATGCTATTTGCGAAGAACGCATCAAGCCGTGACCGCGCCTCTCCAGATTGCATGATGACATATGGTGACCAAAGATCCCAACATCACCTTCAAGGGTCACCTTGACAGAACGCATCAAGCGCATCAAAAATGAGATGTTGATGATCGAAGAGAGACAGCGGCTGACACCTACCTTTCATGGTGAATATCAAGCAAAATAAGCCACGCAGACCTTTCCTTGCCTGCTCAGAATAGATGCAAGGAAATTTGTGCGCCGTACGCATGACAGGGCTCTAGCTAGGAATCCATGACCGTCGCCTACGCAAGAAACTTGACTGCAGCGCAGCAGTCCGAAACCTGGACTTCGGGCGCACTGCGCGTTTCGACAGTGTTCTGGGCAGGCGTTCTGGAATTGAGCAGGTGCCGCTGGTCAGACTGACGCGTGGCGAAGGGTGTTGCAGGGCGCTGTCGCAGTTCCACGCCTGCGCGACCCTTTGTTTGGCCAACGAATACACACATGTGCGTTCCGCGCGCGCGTGCGTGTGCGCTGCTGTGTTCCGATCGCGCTCACATGTTTGTTCCGAGTTCACCCACACGCGTGTACACATGTGTGTGATAATGTTTTGCCAGCGTGCGCAGCGCATACACATGTGTGTTCCACGCCCGTGTTGCGCAAACGCGCGCTCAACTTTGTACAGCAGGGCTCTGATTTTTCAAAGGCTCTGAACATGAAAGCGCCGAACATCAACGGTTTGTTCGTTACATGTTGAGCGGCGTACTAGATTGTGTTGCTGATTTCTTTCTGTTTACAGTTTATGCTGGTACGATAGTGCCTGTAGCCTCTGGGCAGTTGAAGCACCCACAAGAATGCGGCAGGCTAGTTCGGAGCTCTATGCAGAAGTGAACAGCCTCCGCTCCAGCTTTGCCAGGCGCACTTGCTCAGGAGGCACTTTGACCCTTGGTCAGCTTTCCTTCAAAGACACTTGACTTTCTGCGAAGAAGGGGAACAAGCTCACTCGAAAACACACATAACACACAGCTGTCAGATATCAGCGGAGTCCATGTTGTCAGCGGTCCCAAATACTTCTACTTTGTGTTTGTTGAGCTCTCCAAAGCCTTCCTCACAAGTGCTTTGGAGTTTCTTGGAAAAAGGGGAGCCAACGCAAAGACACACAATCAGTAGCCTTGGCCGTCCCAGGAGCGAGGAGATCGGTATGCCCACCGTGCACCTGGCTCCCGCTGTTGCAGGTGCTTTTGTTTTGTGTCGTTTCGGACGTTGCCTGGCTAAAGGCCGTGCCGTGCAAATCAAAAGAGGAAGAACGAAACACAAGGCTCAAAAGATCGGGCTTCATGACAGTTTTTCAGGGAGTGAAGCATTGCTGTGAAGAGTCCCCACCAATTTCATTCATGCAAATCAGCAGCTTGTTGTTATTTTCCCTGTTTTGGGAGACGCTTGTTCATCAAGCCAAGAGTCTTCTTGGGAGGGTAACGATCCTATATCCAATTCCCAGCCAAACAGGCGTGTTAAGTTTGAACTGTTGTATGCCGTCAGACAGGCTTTCCTTCAAAGGGGTCCATGGCAATAAGTTCTTGAAAGTACTTGTACCGACGGGGGCTGAACCAGCGACAGGTTCGGAGGTTTCCCCCACGCGCCTTCTTGTTCTTTTACAGGGTGTTTTTCCTTTTAAACGAGTGATCCTAGCAGGGTCAAGCGCCTTTCTGCGGGAGTGTTCAGATGGAGTCAGAGAGGGACTGAGCCCCAGCTCTGCAGGGCCACTGTAGGGGATACTTCCCAACGCGAATGGCCGTTGGGAGGGGGGATGCAGAGATATATATTTGGTCATTCCGGATCTGAGCGGCAACAGTGTACGGTTTAGTTGAAAAGCCGCCCTTTGCCAAAGGTTAAATCAAATTTAAGGGCTGCCGCCCAGTGCCGCCGACCCCTTCAGTTGGACTGCATCATGATGATAATGATGACTATGCACCCTCTGCATCTCCAATCGGCTCTAACGGGACTTTTGAATCGTGTATGAAAAAGATAAGGATCCTCATCATAGCCGTGGCCCCATCGTCATCATCACGGTTATCATCATCGATGATAACCATCATTATGCATCCTCTGCATCACCAACAGTCATGATGATAATGATGACTACGCACCCTCTGCATCTCCAATCGGCTCTAACGGGACTTTTGAATCGTATATGAAAAAGATAAGGATCCTCATCATAGCCGTGGCCCATCATCGTCATCATCACGGTTATCATCATCCACCAAACAGTCATGATGATAATGATGACTACGCACCCTCTGCATCTCCAATCGGCTCTAACGGGACTTTTGAATCGTATATGAAAAAGATAAGGATCCTCATCATAGCCGTGGCCCATCATCGTCATCATCACGGTTATCATCATCGATGATAACCATCATTATGCATCCTCTGCATCACCAACAGTCATGATGATAATGATGACTACGCACCCTCTGCATCTCCAATCGGCTCTAACGGGACTTTTGAATCGTATATGAAAAAGATAAGGATCCTCATCATAGCCGTGGCCCATCATCGTCATCATCACGGTTATCATCATCGATGATAACCATCATTATGCATCCTCTGCATCACCAACAGTCATGATGATAATGATGACTACGCACCCTCTGCATCTCCAATCGGCTCTAACGGGACTTTTGAATCGTATATGAAAAAGATAAGGATCCTCATCATAGCCGTGGCCCATCATCGTCATCATCACGGTTATCATCATCCACCAAACAGTCATGATGATAATGATGACTACGCACCCTCTGCATCTCCAATCGGCTCTAACGGGACTTTTGAATCGTATATGAAAAAGATAATCATCATAGCCGTGGCCCATCATCGTCATCATCACGGTTTTCATCATCGATGATAACCATCATTATGCATCCTCTGCATCACCAACAGTCATGATGATAATGATGACTACGCACCCTCTGCATCTCCAATCGGCTCTAACGGGACTTTTGAATCGTATATGAAAAAGATAAGGATCCTCATCATAGCCGTGGCCCATCATCGTCATCATCACGGTTATCATCATGGATGATAACCATCATTATGCATCCTCTGCATCACCAACAATCATGATGCAGAGACGTAGTCACCCTCTGCATCGTCATCATCATTGTTATCATCATCGATGATAACCATCATCGTGCATCCTCTGCATCACCAACAGTCATGATGATAACGATGACTACGCACCCTCTGCATCTCCAATCTCATCATCATGATAATCCCACGCATCTTTTGCATCACCAATGGGCTCTAACGCCACACTTGAAATGTATACTACACAAAGACATGGCGACGATGATGATGATGATGATGATGATAACTATCATCGAAGCATCCTCTGCATCTCCAATGGTGATGATAACTATCATCGTGGCAACGCATCCGCAGCACCCTTCCCGTGCGCCTCCCCGTCGGCGGATTTTGCGTAATGATTGCGCTCTAGAGCGTGACTTTCGCAGACTAAAATAGAAGGCGACTGCGTGGATTCGCGCCCCGATGAACCTCCAAAGTGATACGGGAAAGTAGATGGTGCAATTCCCTTGTTGCGGGTAAGCAAAGGGGCTGACTAAACCAAATTAGAGGAACATGTAAGCGGCGCTTGCTTTGCGAGGTCCACTGGCTGAAGCAGGGCGCCCTGGATAGGGGCAGGTTTGGGCTCAGGCCACATAGAACTCGACGGCGTCGCGGTTGTTGGCGGGTCTCAATTTCCCATTGCCTTCTGGCTCAGCGTGTTTTTTTCGGCGGCGAAGGATGTCAAACTTTGTGGTGGTCAAAGGGATTGGGAAACATACCTGTCGCATTTGGTGGCAAAGCCAAAAGGAAACCCACTCATTTCCGGGGCCCGTATTTTAAGGCAAAACTTAACAAACAAACGGTACTCATATATATATATATATATAAATATATAAAGCTTTACATTTCTTCCCCCCCCTCTTGGCCCCGCGATTTGCAATTGGCAAGTAATGTTGAACTTTGATTGACCGCGCTCAAAATGCGCACCGCGCCGCAGCGAGAGCGATTCGACCCACCCAAAGTGCGCAGAGGGTTCGCTTCGCGTTCTCAAAATGTGCGCCACGCCACAGCGAGAGCGATCTCGCTGAGTCAAAGTGACGTGCCTGTACACACCAGTCCGCACGCGCGCGCGTGCGGACACGCTTCTGTGTGCGTGTGCGTGCGTGCCTGCACGCGCGTTTGCGTGCGTGCGATCGTTTGCGCACGCGCGTTCCTTGCGATGCGGCGCGGTGCGATACGATGTGTGTGCCAAGATCGATGCTTGCTCCCTTGCTTCCATGGGTGCTAGGCAATCATTTCAATCATCCCCATCATCATCAAATAACTGAACAAACGTGTTGCAAGAGGCCACGGCTCGGACAACACATCCTGTTTGCAGCCTGGAGCATAATGATGCATGTCCGGGGTGCGCTTCTTCTTGAACTTTCAGTTGCTGCACAAACAGTTTAAACACTACAGCCTGCCTGCTCAAGACACCTACTGCGCGGAAGGGTCAAAACTCTACCCACCAGCGGAGGGGAGGGGTATATATACACATGGTCAAACCCCGCGCGCCTTGCTTTCAATCAGGCTCACGGGTAACGTGCGCAGTTACACCTTTCCAGGGGGGCTTGAAAAAACCTCACCAAAGGAAGTTTAGAAGCAACTACCGTGGCACGGCCACTACTTGAAAGCTAGTTCTCTGAGACGGATGACAAGAGGTATAAGAACGCGGGAAGAAACATGCGTGCGTGGGTGGCGGGGCAATAGAATGCTACAAAAGTGCAACCCTCTCCAGGCGGGACCGTTCGCACAGACGCGCTTTTCGCAAGTGTAGGTGGCGTGGCAGGCGCAGCGCTTTCGCTCGTGGCACGCGTGTCGCAAGGTCAGGTAGATTGCGTGGCGCGCGCAACACTTTCGCAAGGTCAGGCGCAGATGTTGTGGCAGGCGCAGCACTCTCGCAAGGGTCGGTGCAGATTTCGTGCCAGGCCCAGCAGTTTCGATTTATCAGGCGCAGATTGCGGGCGCAGCGTTTTGGAAGGGCAAGCGCAGATCTCGTGGCAGGCGATGCGCTTTGTCCCGCGCGAACTTCAGAGAAAGATATATATATATATATATAATTTCAAATGAACGGAACGGTGGATACAAAATCTTGACAGATCAGATCAGACAGACTAGGTAGGTGGCTAGCTAGCTAGCAAGATGGATAGATGGATGGATGGATGGATGGATAGAGGTAGGCTAGATAGACAGTTGGATAGATGGGTACAAGATGGATAGATAGATAGATAGATAGACAGATAGACAGATTGAGTAAGTTGATAGGTAGATAGATAGATGGATAGGTAGAAAGAACGAACAAATTGATTTTCGGAAAAGCGCATGGGTACATGAGCAGACACACAGACATTTAGATAGATAGGTCGATAGATAGAGAGGTAGATCAGTAGACAAATGGATAGGTAGGAAGAAAGAGAGATAGGGAGAGAGACATGCACATATACATATCTGGATGGCTAGGTACATAGATGACAGACAGAGAGATAGCGAGGGAGAGATAGATGGATAGATAAATGGATGTGTAGTTGGCTGGAGAGAACATTTGCAAGTTGATAGGAAGGTAGATATTAGACAGAGATATAATAGAAATGTAGAAGTTGTCACTCATCGGGGAAGAAGGAAAGAGGGAACGAAAGAAAGGAAAAAAGGAAGAAAGGGAGACACAATAAAGAGGGAAGAACGGACAGACAGAAACAAAGAGAGAAGAACCAAATCATGGAGAGAAAGAAAAGCAGAAAGAAGGAAGGACCGAAATACATAAAGTTGAGGAACGAAGAAAGAGAGGATTTTGTAAAGAAGGAAGCAAACAGAATCTGAAATCGATGAAAGAGAGAAAGGGAAAAGCGATCGATGACAAACACCACGAAGAGAAACACCAAGAAGAACAGAAACACAGCAAACTGAGACTTCCGCCCACCGTCTTCGGCGGCTCCACTGGCAATGGTGGCAATATGTCTGAGCAACTCGGCTGATGCCCGCAATGGGAACGCACGCCTTGGACATTCGACCCCTAGAACCACATTCAGCGCTCACGAGCCCAAGTTGGCAAGCTCATCCAAGAGAAGTAAAGTAAAGTAACAAACAAATACCATCATTCCCCGAAGTGTCTCAAATGCACGGCTTATCCGGCGCTTGAACCCAGGGGGTCCTGCCTGTCAATTTTGATTGCCCCCCTTGGGTCGTGAGAGCCGCATTGAGATGAAACCGGCCAGGAAACGAGGAGATCTTCAGAATGTTTCGAACAAAACTTTTCCTCTCTTAGACTCCGCTTGAAATGTCTACGGCCACCCACATGTCAACGCAAAATGGAACATGGACGGCGCAGACTTGCTGAGCAACCAGGCCATGTTGTCATTGGCTTATCGACTTAAATGCATGGCTGGCCTGTGGTGGATCCTTAGGCCCGATCTTGCAACTTTGCGATTTGGCATTGAACCTTGAGCAGCCTAGACTTGTTGCTCAGGAAGTGCCATGTTGGAAGTGAAACCTTTGAGAAGGTTCAAAGTGTGGGGGTTCTTGCCTGAGCAGGCGGCCCCTGGCCTGGTCGGATGCCCACCCTGGATTCGACCCTGCCCATGTGCAGCACAGCTTCTAAAATGGAGAGAAACAATTGTCAATACACACACTTGGAGACGAAGACTCGGTTTTGTTCCTATTGAATCAAACGGAAATTTAATAAGGCCTGGGCCAACTATAGTTTAAAGTTTCTGGATTGTTAGAGGTGCCAATCATAAACACGTCGGTAAATGGCTGGCAGGAATAGAGTACCTGTGGGTATGAGATCTATTCGACACCCTTTGCTGGACATCGTTTACACACGGGTTTCTGTCCACTAACTCCGTGTAAATAACATTCACCAAACAGGCCGCGATTTTCGGCCACTGTTAAAATTGGTATTGGACTCAGCACAAGGGGGCCGTTGCGTCCTCTCCATGTTTTCCAACACCACAAATTGGTGTTTCTTGGGTTCGACAGAGTTCGTGGGGATCAACTTGGCAGCTCTTCAAATCCGCCTGCCTGTAGGCTAGCTTGGACTTCGGTTTGCGGAGGCCCGAGGCAAGAGATTGTGGTGTAAGGGGCTTGCCTATTTTGGGACCCCGTTATCGGGGGTACTGAGAGCCCGAAAATGGATGATTGTTGAGTAGCTATCAGGGCCAAACGCCTCTCCAAGCCGGGACCAAGGAGAAAGAGGGGATATCCGGGATATCGCCATGAAGCCTCAACCTCGGCCTCGAACAACCAACGCCCGTCCAGTCCGCCCCTTCCAGCACGCTTTAACGAACGTTGACCTCCAACGCGTTCCCCCGATTAAATTTTGTTCCATCACTTCGAATCCAGCACGTTCGGTATTCCAACAAGAAACGGCGTTGAGCGAGCACCTTTCCTTGCCTAATCTCTAAAACAAGCGAGCGCAGAGCAAACCCAGGCGACCCTAGCGTCAGCGATGGTTGGTTTGGGCAGCTCTGCTTGTTCTGCTCAAATTCCCAGCGGTCCATGTGGTACTTCCAAGCTGCATGTTTTGGGGAAGCGCGTGAAACACTTGTGTGCCGAATTCAAGTTTTGCAGCTTTGGTGTGTTGAAAGGACAGGTTGAGACACAACATCCAGCAAAACCAGGCGGCTAGCTACTGGCGAGCTTTTGCGGCAGCGCTTCCAACATCATGTTGAGCAATGCCTTTCCATCAGTCAAAGGGCCTTGGTCGCAGCAGGTGTACTTAGCAAATGTTATCAACACACCTACGCGCGCGCGTACAGACGGGAACGTAAACACAAACATGCATAGACGATAAAGCAATTGGTCGCTCTGGTTGACCAGCGGTAGCTTCATCCAAAACGTATGCTTTCTTTTGGGCCCGACTGCTTCACCTTGAAAGGGTCAAGACTGACGGCTTTGGGTTGAGCCTTCAATTCCTGAAGCCAAAGTGGAAGCCCCAACCTCTAAACCACCATGTAGCAAGTCAACTATGCACATGGTCCCATTCGGTTTGCTGCCAACACTCGAACATACTCGACAATAATGTGCTTGCCAATGGCTCTATTGTTTGCGCCCAGCCTGCGCAGTTCCATGTGCTGCAAATTAATCAGGAACTACAAAATGGGACTGCCGCATCCTGACACAACCCAGGCCACCAGGCGTCCTGCCGGATCCAGCATTTGCGTTGAGTTTTGCTGACATGCTGACACGCCCATCTACACATGCCTGCCGAGGCAGCTGCTCTTTCTCTGTCGCTTGCGCCATGCCCCTTGTCAAAGCCTTCGCCTGCAAAGTGTGAAATGTCTTGGACGCGCGACGAGGCAACGTGTGAAATCGGTTTGAAGGGCAAAACGAGAGGACGACGTGCGAAGCGCAATTATTTCGTTGGACTTAGCTTTGCGCTTGGGGTATTCTCAAGTTAGCGGGGGTGAAGCGTCAACGCCGGCATATGTAGTTGAGACATGTCAGCCTTAGAGTGTCACGTGCACGCACAAAAGGACAACAGCATCCAAGATGGGCGGGGGTCGGCCTGCGCGGGAGAATCTTGGTCGAATCTCCGCAGGGTTAATCTACATGGAATAAGGGGCACGCGGAAACGAAATCGTGCACGTATCAGCGCATCGGCGAGGCCGAATACAGATGGGATAGGGGCACGCACGGGTCGTGGTTCGTGGTCCGCGGCGGGGCTCGAATGCCGGCGTCGTGGCACAGAAGAAGGCGCTGGTCCGCGGGCGTGGTTGACACCGAAAGCGGCACAGCGGTCCTGAAGTCACCATAGACTGCGCTGACGCAATGAAGCAACTCCAAGGTCATCAATGCCGTCTCCTCCAACAGATTCTCTTGTGCGTTTTACTGATTTTGCCATGCAGCAGTTCAAGTAGACTCTGGCTGGCGCCGCTGTCTTCCGAACAGGTGCTGAAGTTGGTTTCAGAAGTCAGAAGTCAGTAATTGAAATCATGGAAATCTGGGTGAAAGCCATGCGGGAGCAGTGTTTGGAGGGCGTAACTTCTGTCCAGACTTTGGCCGTAGAAGCTCGTGGCGCATATCAATGTAAGGAAACGCCAAGGCTTAGTTTTGTATGGTGAACTTCCATCCTGCCTTTGCTCCTGCTCAAAAACACAACTAGGGAAACGGTGGAAATCGTTTTGGGAAGCCTCCGGACAAGCCGCTGAGGCCTGAAGGTCGGGTGAAAGCACCTTTGGCTGACAACTCTCCGACGCAAGCTGTCCGCTCTGTGTGGGAGCCGAAGCAAGGCCGAATGCTGAGAAATGCGTGAAACCGGGCATCGTCTTCGGATTGTTTCCAATCGTCCAATCGCCGGCAAGCCTATCTGCATGATTATACAGGAACGAACAAAGGCACCCCATTTCTGTTTTCGGGAGGGATTCCTCAAACGTGTGCTTGCGGGTACCTTTTTTTGGGTGGCTTGACAAGGAAGCCAAGGGGAAAATGCGGGGTGCTGCTCTTGGTTTGGCATGGGGTTGTAGGAGGGGCCTATGCTTTGCAGAAGCTGGGTCGGGGGACCGCGCAAATATCAGGAGAGGGCACGCATGCACGGGGGTTGCGGAAGTTTGCGGGATGCGCTGGGGTTCGCAGACTGGGGTTCGCAGGAGTTTGTGGGAGAGGCTTGAGGTTCGCAGAAGTCGGGTTGCGTACTGTCTTGTTTGGGTGCTCCGAGCAACTGGGGTACATCGGCAGCCGTGTAAGTTTGGGGAGGTCAAGGGGATTACGCAACGCTCCCAGAAATGAACAACATGGCGCAACAATTCATCTGGTCCATGGCTGAGGTATGTCTTACTCACGCGTGAACAGCCTTCAGTAGAGTGTGTTGTGTTGAGAAGGAGGCAGACTTCTGCAGAAAGAGTTTTGTGTGTTCGTGCAAGGAAAGCACGCTTCACTACTTCAATCTGTGCATCGGAGTAGATCCCGGCCAACGTACTCACCGGTGTGTTCCCCTAAAACTGGTGCCGTTCGCACCTGGTCCATCTAGGGCGGTCCCACTTCAATCTGAAGTCGCCCCCTTCCCCTTCCGAGCGATTCTGCTTACCAGAGCAGAGTTCGGTTGCCTGTAGTGGCTCACTTCATATCCTTTCCTTGTTTGCCCCGGCAAGGCTCGGAGTCCTTCATGGGGACATCCAGCCCGACAACCTCACGACAACCTGTGCGCCACATCCTCAGTGCCAAGTCATATCTGTAGAAGCAGTCTTGGTTCAGGCAATGTTTGTGGGCTCTTCGCAAACCCTTGGCGGATATTTTCTCACCGCTAAAGAAAGTCCCCTCATTTGCTTTCAACTTCAATTTCAGCCAAGCATCCTGGATTGCTAGAAAGACGCAACGGTTGTTTAATTGCCTGGCCGATTTTGTTGAATGCGACAGTGAAAGCGGGCCATCCCTACATGGGCTTCCATTCAGCAGTATGACAGTCAGTGATTGTGAACTTTGTCAAGCGCCTGGCTCGAAATCCAGCACGCCCAGTCGTGGGTGACAGGCGGCCCAGCAGCAAATAAACCTGGGTCGCGCCTCCCAGCGCATCTAGCGTCATGTCATCATGTGCCTGCCGCACCAAAACGGTGCGCTGTGAATCTTTGCAAAGCCACCTTGAACCACCCTAAATCACCCTAAGCCACCCTGTATCCAACTAAGAGTCTAGACCAATCCCCAGAAACAAGCCCCAACTTGACCCCCAAGTGCAAGTTAGGTCAGTCTAAATTGGCTCATCAGCTTTGCGTGTGTTGTGCTGGTCTTTTGCACTACGCAAGAGCCAACAGCCTTGGTTCGTACAACATGTGGTTTTTTGACCCTGAAACGTATCATAGTTTTGTCCACTACTTTTTGCTTTGGGTGTGGGCGGGGGAACACATGTTCAATTATCAGGGAGTTGATGAGTTGTTAGCACGAAGAGATTCCAATGGGCTTAATGTCCCGTGTGGGTCATGTGGGTTCGCCCGATTCAGACGTTGCCAGGCCGCTTCTCCAATGAAGCTGATTAGTGCTATGTTGGCCTTTGTTTCTTCAATCCCTTGGTTCAGTGGTTCCCAACTTGGTGTTTTCAAGCCATCCAGAAACTCAGCGCAACTCGACATGTGCCCTGCTTTTTCGGACTGGACTATTGCCTGGCTTGTAGTCCTTGAATTGCAGCCACGTCTTTGGATCTGGATATATTGTAAGGGCTCCCCGAGTGGTTTTGTTTCTGTTGGAGGCGTCGAACCCGCAACTTGTCCCCAAAAAGCAATCACATTTTTGGCTGTGTAAGTTGGGCTGTTTGCTGCGTTTCTGAGTGAATCACTGAGGCAGCGATGATGAAATTCCTCTTGGAGGAATAGCGGAAGCGGCTGAGGGACGTAAATGGTTGCAAGCAAGATAAGAAACACGGGTGTGTCTCTTTTTGAGGGCATCTTGTCAGATTTTGGCCAAAGGAATGCCAAGGAGAAACCACCCATTCTTGCAGCCTCCGTTGACCTATGCCCACATCGGCAGCGTTTTTTTGGGATGATGACTTGATAGGTTGACATGTCACGTGGTGCGCGCTTTGTGAGTGGGTCAACGGTGCGAAGCGTTGTCGCATCCTCCCCAGTTGAAATTGGACACGCCACATTGAGATTCCAACAGTCGGAAAGTTGTGAAAACACCGGCCAAGCGTCGGCGCCGAGACATTTGAAGAGCGAGCGATTGGCCTCAGAATCGGCCATCTACTAACAAGACTCAATGTTGGCGCCGAATGATGCCGCCCTGTTAAGGTATGGAAAGGACCACTCCAACGGCCAGGGGTCAGTCGGACTGGAGGGGCCTTGCTGAAATAGTGCTTGTTGGGGAAACCCTGCCAAGAAAGCAACAGGTTAACCCCTGCCGCTTAGATGTTTACGCCGAGCAAACCCAGCAAGACCAGCCGACCCCCGCTTTGGAAAACTTGCCAAGGAAGGCAAGCCAAGTGTTTGATGGCTTTTAGGCAGACCCAGGCAAAGGGAAACCACGGTCAACCCACAGAAGCAGCACACCTACCGGTAAGCAGCGACAAATGTGGCTCCGCAGGACTTGCGGAGCACTATTCGGATTTGGATGCGTCCGGGCCGAAGGCGGAAGGGCTGTGTTGGGTAAATGCTGACCTAAACGTGGGCTTGTTTGCCAACAAATTAAATGGCGCCAAGCCCTTAAAAGGTATCTGACTGGCGGAGTTTTCGCAACGGGGCTGTCAATTCCATCTAGCGCCAAGCTCTCAAGCGAACTTCACAAATATCCTGCTCCAACAGCAAAGCCACCACCTAGAATTTGGTTCAAGGTGAAGCATGTTTGCTGTGCGTCAACTCACCCTCATACGGTTCGTTCGCTGCGAAATGCGCAAGACTCGCCGGAGCTTGTGAAGAGGACAGGCTTGATACCTGAAATTGCAAAACTCACGCAATTTGTTTGCTGCACCGTGATCATTTTAGGTTTCAATCATCTGCCAGTGACCAGCCGGCGTTCTGAGTTGTTGTAAATAAGCCGGAGTTTAGCCGAAAAGACAAATTGCAACCCTGCGCATGGCCAGGCTATCAAACGCGCAGGGACGTTCGAAGGTCACACAACATGCCAATTGCCGGACTCGGACAAGGTCGGTTCATGCTGCTTTCCAGAAACACCCCCTTTTTTGCCTGTCGCTTTCCAATCATAACGTGGAAAAGGCGGCCACTACAAGGATATGTTCCATGCCTTCCAGTCCGCCTACGAGCTTAGCTTCGTCAGGGTTGCGAAAGGGTTTGGCCGCAGGTAGCGCAATGGTTTCCTTGCTAGGATTATAGTGGAAAGTCAGATTGGCAAGCCCTTCCTTGCAACCAGTTGCCATAGCTCCCCCCAAAACGGTTGGCTTCCATTTGTCCTATGCTTACATCCAGCAAAGGTCTCCCTCCCTCCCGAAAGAAGAGCGGCGACGTGCGAGCTGAATTGCGGGTAAAGCCAGCTGTCGAGGAGCCTTCCGAACTCACAGGTACGCTCCGAGGCCGAGGCGTGGAATTATAGTTACATGCGCGCAGGCCGCGGTTTACCCCAAAGCCCCAGCTGTTGGGGTTCTTACGCTTCTAAAAAGAAAGAGCCGCTTCCAGATCGCCGCCTGTGCTTGAAGATCGCCGAGCCGCAGGTTACGCTCGCCGGGCCGCAATACGAATTACATGCCTCCTGGCTTTCACCTCTGTCCCAACGTGGTCTCCGCATGGTTGCCAACGCGCGCCTTTTCTTGTTTGCTTCAAGGTTTTCAGGTCGCCGGGCCGCATGCTCGCCAGCGAAGGCGCTTACTTGTGTCCCAGTCTGTGCGTCCAGTGCCGAAGGGCCTGCAGATTGTGCCTGCTTTATTTTGGGACGCCTCCAGCAGATATGCCCGCTTTTATCTTGCAAGACGCCGCCTGCAGCTCTTGCATCCTATATCTTGGAAGACGCCGCCTGCAGATTTTGTCCCCTACATCTTGGAAGAGGCTGCCTGCAGAGTTTGCTCCCTTATCTTGGAAGACGCCGCCTGAAGATTTTCCTTCATCTTGGAAGACGTCGCCTGCAGATCACGGCCGGCTCTCCCTTCAGATTTGCCTTTTGGAAAAACCTCGCCTGCAGATTTTGCATCCTTTTTCTTGGGAGACACCGCCTACACATTGCGCCCGCTTTTTGTTGGAAGATGCAGCCTGCAGGTTTTGCTCCGCCAGCAGATTCTCACTTTTCCTTGGAAAACGCCGCCTGCTGATTTTGCTTCTTTATCTTGGAAGACGCCGCCTACAGGTTGCGCCCCCCTGTATCTTGGAAGCTGCCTGTAGATTTTGCCTCCTTTAGCTTGGCCTGCAGAATGTAGCTTGTTCATCTTCAACGACGCCGCCTGCAAATCGTCGATTTGGCCCCTTTACCTTGAAAAACGCCGGCGGCAGATTTTACCCCCTTAATTCGGAAGACGCCGCCTGCAGACTGTGGCTCTTTTTTCTTGGAAGACGCCGCCTAGTTCGCTAACTTTTCTTGGGTGACGCTGGCTGCAGATGTTGCTCCTTGATTTGCTGCCTGCTTTGTCTTGGCAGATGCCGCCTGTTGATTTTGCGCCCTTGGTTTTGGACGAGCTTGCCCGCAGATATTGCGCCCCCTTGTCTTGGAAGACGCCCCCTGCTGCCCCCTGTCTCTAGGGAGACGCGCTGCCCCCTTTTCTTGGAAGGCGGCGCCTGCAGACTGTGCCTCCTTTCTCTGTGAAGATGCCGCCTGCGGATTTTAGCTATTTAGGTGAGAAGCGGGCTTCAGAGCTTGCCCCTTTGTCTTGGCAACCGCTGCCTGCAGGCTTTGCCCTTTTTATCTTGAAAAAACGCTGGCTGCAGATTCTGCTTCCTTTATCTTGGCGGGCGACGCCTGCAGACTTGTCGGCCTTGATCTTGGAAGACCTTGCCTTCTTTTTCTACGTGTCGGGCTGTTACTTGCCCGCAATACAGGGCACAGCACAGCATGTTTGTCGGCAGTTTTGTAGGCGCACGAACAAGGCCAGGCCATGTCTGGGCCGCGGCAGGCCTGGGCATCGGCTTGATGGCTGCAGCAGTGCTGCCGCTCAAGAGATCCGCTCAAGAGATCATCAGGCTGCGGCAACTGGTCTCGGGCGGTGGCAGCAAGGCAGCGAAGCCAGGTCGCGCGGCCAGGGTGAGGAAAAGTGGGCAGTGGAAGCTTTCGGCTCAGTCAGAGTACACCAAGAACACAAGCAGGCCCAGTGCTGAGCAGCGCCGCAGTGCCGTGCAGAAGCCGGAGCAGAAGGAGAAGGCAATGGTTCAGGAGGCAAGCAGCTCACCATGGAAAGCTTGGACGCTGCTACAGAAGCTTTGGTTTTGTCAGGCGCCCCGCAAGTGCCTTGCTTGCCACAGCAAGAAGGAGTTCACGCGGCAGGTGCAGGGAGTCCGTGGGAGGAGCAACGTTGCAGGAACAATGAGTGCGCATGAGAGCGGGGGAAGGATGCCGTGGCTCCCGCGCAGCATTCCCACGAAGGTGAATGATCAGGTGAACCCGAGCCTGAAGAAGTATACCATGGCGTGGCTCTGTCAAAGCAATAGCACGGATCAGACCACCCTTTTCTCACAGCTTGGCAAGCTTTGCCGCGCGGAGCGGTGCAGGCAATGCCCAGCCCGCGACCTCATGCTGTAAAGAACTTGAGGCAGCGCGGCGGAGTCTTCCTGAAAAGCATCAGCCTCCCTGTTGCATGTAGCAGGATGCATTGACCAACTTGAGATGTGTTCATTGCTTGCGCATTGTGGTATGTCGTGATCGGCCTTAGTTGTTTTTTGATGGGACTTGTTTTGCTTTGCAAGCAAAATGGCACGAGAGGTCGGCAGTCACCCAGCGGTTTGCTTGAGCCATGTCCTACTGCTGAGACTGCAGAGGGCTCCTTGTGCAAGTCCAACTTTGCGAAGGTTTCGGGATTTGAACGTGTTGGACATTGATGATTTGTACTTTGCCTTGACCTGCTCCGGTGCCCCTGGTAGTTGTGAAGAGGTGGTGCAGTCAGTCGTCGGCGTTGAAAGCCGAGCCAACAGAGCCGGCGCCTTGCCTTTGTCTGCTTTGAGTGCAGAAGCTCATGCTTTGCGGGCTGCGCGGGAACGAGTCCCCACAGCGGACAGTTCTACAGCTGCGTAGATCCAGGTGTTGCAGAGCAGGGTGAACAGGTGGTACTGTGCGGTCAGTCTGTCAAGTAGGCAACATGCGCCTCCAGATCCAGGGCCAACTTCCTCTCGACCATGGCGGCGAAGACGGGCAGCCCGTGTTCTTTCAGTAGAGGCCGAAGAAGCAGAGGAAGATTTGGAGCAGCACCTGCACGCTTTGCGACTGCATGAGGAGGACAAGGTTGCAGGCGCAGACGATGGAGTGGCGCCGGATGTCCCGCAAGTCTATTTTTCTTCTCCCGCAAGGTGCCCACCAACCTCGAGGCCGGAGACTATATCCACTGTGTACCCGTGGGCATGCATCCACGCGCCGTCGCAGCGGGACTTGACATAAGTCGGACCAGGCAGTGACTCGCCGCTTCATTATGACGCTCTACTGGAAGCGAGAGTTGCGTCCGCCAGCTTGCGTTCCCAGCTTGGTCAGAGAAGCCTCATCGCGCCACAGCCTCTGACTTCGCAACCTCCCGCGACAGCGAGCATACTTGACGTCGTCAGAAGTGCCGCCGCTGCCACCAACACGGATGGGCCACAACAATCGCAGATGGATCTTGGTGCCGCGGCTGGTCAACCAAGAGTTCGCGCCACCACAGCGAGTGGCCTTGCCCGCGTCTGGCGCACACTTCTTGGATGGGCGGCCGACTTGCTATGTGATTGGCGAACTTAAGCGACTTGCTAAGCCGCTTGCAAGTTGACTAACTTGAGTTAGTAAGTCCGCTAAGTCTGACTTAGCGGACTTACATCCTGGCTAAGTCCGCTTGGCGAGTTAGAGGAGTTAGCTAAATACTTAGAGCTGCTCAGCATCTGAACTTGCCAAATGGACTTAGCCAGGTTGTAACTCCGCTAAGTCAGACTTAGCGGGCTTACTAACTCAAGTGAGGCAACTTGCAAGCGGCTTAGCAAGCCGCCTAAGTTCGCCAATGACATAGCAAGTAGGTCGCTCATCCAAGTTCGTGCATGCTCACTTGAGACCAGCGTCCGGGGCGGTCCACGCCATTGTGAGATCGGGCGAAGTATACGTGCAGAGCAGAGCGCAAGCGTGCGGTGGACTGATCACCACGTTCCAACAGCGGTGATGCCGCGAATCAGGGCTTGCTGTTTGACAGCTGCGCCTGTTTGCGGGTCGTGTAGCTGTAGGGTTGCGGGCGTCTTGGCCGACCGGTTGAGAGTGTGCAACGAACCGCAAAAAGTCTCAAAAAGTTGTTCAGCGGCGCCTGGTTTTCTGTTTGGCAGGTTTCCCACTGCAAACGGTCAAGCGCAGAAGCAGGATTCTTTTTCTCCCTCTCGTAGATCAGAAGCCCATGCCGCCCCGCCTCCCGTTCCTTCCCTGCCACTGGCTTCTTTCAGGTGGGGATGCACGCCCAGCCCTCCGAGGCTCGAAAGGTTCAGGCTCAAGGCTTACCTCCGGGGTTTCATTTCAAACTTGCTTGGAACAGGGCCAACAATTCTCGCCCAAAAGTGGAGGGCGCATAAGACAGGGCAACATGTGTTTAAACGACCAACCCCAGGCTTTGAAGGGAAGCCCAAAGGTAGGTCCTTGAAGCAACAGTTTGAACGTGTTTGAGCATGCGGTTGGCCCAGGGCCCCGTTTGCCTCTTCCTTTGCGATGTCATTGCCATTTTTGGGTATGGCTCTTGGAGTAGGTTGCGTAGTCTTTCATTGGTTTCATTGTTCCAGCGAACCGGCCCTCACGAGGTTCATGCGTGCTGTTTGCAAACAGCCCCCCAGCAATGAGCCATGTCCCAGTGCTTCCAGCTTCTTCCACAGGCGCTAGAAATATGTGTCGCTTGCCTCGGCAAAGTTCAATATCGCTAGGGGTCCTGCAGTTCCAGCTTTTAATGATGAAGCAGTCATGTGAATTGACATCATTATCGGTGTATTGTGTTGGCGTCAGGGACAAGGGCCAATTTCCACGGTTTGGCTTTTCCCCAAAATCGGAAAGCGAAATGCAAGCGAAGTGTTAAAAGGGGAAAACTCTAAGCCCGGTTCCGAAAGCGGCCGGCCTTCAGTGGCTCGAACAGGATGCGCTCCTGCGCCGGGACAAGCGCTCCAGCAAGGGCTCCTCAGTTACTGTGCTTGTGCTATCTGCGTATCTATCCGATTGTCTTTGAACCACTCTGTGTGTCTGTGTGTCTGTGTGTCTGTGTGTCTGTGTGTCTGTGTGTCTGTGTGTCTGTGTGTCTGTGTGTCTGTGTGTCTGTGTGTCTGTGTGTCTGTGTGTCTGTGTGTCTGTGTGTCTGTGTGTCTGTGTGTCTGTGTGTCTGTGTGTCTGTGTGTCTGTGTGTCTGTGTCTGTGTGTCTGTGTGTCTGTGTGTCTGTGTGTCTGTGTGTCTGTGTGTCTGTGTGTCTGTGTGTCTGTGTGTCTGTGTGTCTGTGTGTCTGTGTGTCTGTGTGTCTGTGTGTCTGTGTGTCTGTGTGTCTGTGTGTCTGTTGTTGTGTCTGTGTGTGTGTGTTGTGTGTGTCTGTGTGTGTCTGTTTGTGTTGTTTGTGTGTGTTTGTGTTGTGTGCGTGGGGTTATGTGTGTGTGTGTCTCTCGTGCGTGCGTGCGTGCGGGCGTTCTTGCGCGCGTGCGTGGGTTTGTGTGTGTGTGTGCGTGTGCGTGTCTGCGCGTTGTGTGTGTGTGTGTGTGTGTGTGTGTGTGTGTGTGTGTGTGTGTGTGTGTGTGTGTGTGTGTGTGTGTGTGTGTGTGTGTGTGTGTGTGTGTGTGTGTGTGTGTGTGTGTGTGTGTGTGTGTGTGTGTGTGTGTGTGTGTGTGTGTGTGTGTGTGTGTGTGTGTGTGTGTGTGTGTGTGTGTGTTTCTGCGCATGTGTGTGTGTGCGTGCGTGCGTGCGTGCCTGCGCGTGTGTCTGTGTGTGTGTTTCTGCGCATGTGTGTGCGCGTGCGTGCGTGCGTGCGTGCCTGCGCGTGTGTCTGTGTGCGTGTTTCTGCGCATGCGTGTTTGCGTGCTTGTGTTTTTGTGTACTTGTTTGTTTGTGTTTGTGTGTGTGTGTGTGTTTGTTTTTTGTTTTTGTGTGTGTGTTTTTTGTTTGTATGTGTGTGTGCCATGCCGTGCCGTGCCGTGTGCGGGTGCGGGCGCGGGCGCCTGCCGGCGCCGGTGCCGGTGCCAGCGCCGGGGCCGGGGCCGGGGCCGCGGCCGGGGCGGGGCGAGGCGGGGCGAGGCCTTTGGTGCAACACTGCGCGTGGGAAGAAAGCGGGGCAAAGGTGGAAGGCGCTTACAGCCAGACTTGCTGAAAAGCTCACGCCCATGCCGACGCGCACGCATCCACCCACCCACCCCACCCGCTCGCCCGCCCACTCACCTCCAGGCACACGCGGGCGCACTCCGCTCCCTCATTTGTCAGCATCTTGTCCGCTTCAGGAGTGTTCTGCCATCCTTGTTGTTGCGCTTTGCCTTTTGCTGATGGCCCCAACAACTTGGGCTGAATCCTTGAAGCGGCGGGTGTGCAGATTCAGCCGGAATATTGCGCACCCGCCTTCATGTTTAGATCCTTGCGCAGAAGAAGAACGGCAAAAGACAAGGCGACCAGAAACTCTCAAAAATGCTGTTTTCCCCAACAGCTGAAAGTGAGGGGGCTCACCCCAGGAGGGGCTCTGGAGTCAGGTTCGAGCTGGAGTTACAGGCTTTGCGGAAGTATCAGGGTCCTGCGCAAGTTTTCATGGACGCACACTCACACACACCACACATTCAGGCAGACAGAGACACAAACAGACACACAGACAGACACACAGACGCACACACACACAGACGCACACACACACACATAGACGCACAGACACACGCACAGACAGACGCACAGACGGACAGACGCACAGACGCACAGACGCACAGACGCACAGTCAGACGCACAGACGCACGGTCAGACGGACAGACGGACAGACAGGCGCGCACGCACGGACGCACGGACGCACGGACGGCACGGACGGCCACGGCCACGCACGGCCACGCACGGGCACCGCACGGGCCACGGGCGCGGCACGGGCACGGCGCGGGCACGGCACGGGCACGGCATTGGCGCGGGCACGCCACGGGCGCGGCACGGGAGCGGCACGACGGCACGGGCACGGCGCAGGCACCGTCACGGGCACCGCACGGGACCACACGGGCATCGCGCCGGCACCGGCGCTGCAGCCGGGGCGGGGCGGGGCGGGGCGGCCGGGCCGGGCGGACCGTGCCGCGGGGTCCGTGCCGGTGCCGCGCCGTGCCGGTGCCGCGTCAGGTGCCGCGCCGGCGCCGCGCGCCCTGGCCCCGACCCCGACCCCCGGCCCCGCCCCCGCCCCGCCCCGCCCGCCCGCCCCCCCCGCCCCTTTGCGCGTAGGTGGCCCAGGGTTCGCGCATATCCAAAGAAGTGGTACGCCGGTGACGCCCGACGCGCCGCTAAGGCCCCCTAGCTGTTGCTGATGGGAAAAGGGAGAGAACGTGTCAGTAGGGCAATGTTGAGGTAGAAACCTGGCCCAATGCAGAGCCAGGCCCCCCGCATTTTAGGGACATTTCCAACCTGCTGACGGATTAGTTGCGACTTGAAACAACCCAGATCCTCATTGCTTTCTGTTTAGTTTTAGTTTTAGTCTATTTTTTTGAGAGAGCCAGACAGGAATCGACCATTTTGTTTAGCAGCCCATTGGCCATTGCGCAGCCGACAGCTTCCATTTCTGGGCACGGATGCCTGCAGCAAAGAGGATGTGTGATTTGCTTGTGAGCTGCAATTGCCATTGGCTGCGCGAGAAACAGGTTGCCGAGACTTGGCCCCGTTTTTTGACCTAGAAGCCATGTGCTGCTTTTGCGGGCCTGCTCCAGGACAAACGCAGGACTTAGGCGATTGCGTTGTATATTGGCGAGCTGTTCTGGTCACACTAGGTTTTCGAACGTGCACATTTGGGAGGGCAGGTGTCATGAACACGTTTGGAAGTAAATTCGTCGTTTTTTGAGTTTCCCGCCCTCCCATTGTCATGCAACTCCTTGCGAAAGGACTTGGAGTCAGGCCCCATATCAATGGGTGGAGGTTGAGGGATAATCTTGTGCCTCCGAGGTCTGTTGCAGAGCCAAGCTTCCTGACTTCTTTCAGGTTAGTTTGGTAGACCCGGGCACGGTCGTTCGCCATGGTCATTGATGTGGGGGATGGTGTCTGGGCCGTTCAGGGACTTAGAGAGACATAGCTTTGCAAATGGAACCATTTTGCAGGGTCACCTGTGGATTGTGTTACAACAATATTTCCGTGTCTCAACAACCATCCATATATTCACCCATACCATTTACAATTGCCTGTTTCAAGACAGCGTCTTGTAAAAACGCCGGCCCATTAAGACACCTCTGCTCAATTAACAAGGGGTGTCCCAGTATCCGTCACTTGTGGGGAACACCCTGCTATTCATCCGGCGGGTTTAATGTACTTTGAAAAGTACCATGTTGCGCATCGGAGATTGTCGGCCTTTGCTTATCGACTCATGAACCATGTGGCTTTACTGGGCAAACAGGCTACAAACATTGCAACCAGCTAGAACGCGTGCTTGATTTTAAGAATACCCCTGCAACGAAAACTGCTGCTTTTCAAGGGACAATCGTTGTTCCACTGTTCCAACAACCTGATGCTGGTCTGTGAGTGTCGCAGGGCCCGCAAGTCAAACACAATCCACTCCGTCAAGCTTAGGAACTACGGCGTTCAATGGGCATGGGCCATGACCGATAGATTGTCAATCGTTTTGCGGCATATTAGGCAAATTAGAAGTTGACAGCTTTTTCGTTTGACCAGCACAGACTACTGAGTACTGCTGCATGCGTCTTTGTTTGTTTGTTTGTTTGTCAGGTTGATCGGGGGCATTGCGGCCTTACCAAATCCTTGGTTTGTAGGGGCGGGGTGGACATGATTGAGTGATTTGGTATAGTGGGTCCGAACCCTTAGGGTATGAGGCCGCAAATGGCCGCAGATTATGAGGATCAGTTTGGAAGAGTGCCAGGATGAGACAGGGGCCTCATAATTTTGTTTTTCGACCTGACTCATGCCAATTCCATTTACGAGGAACCCACACACTTTGGTTGAGTCATTCTTGAAGTAGCTCATTCCTGGCCTTAGGTCAAGATGCGCTGGACTCATTGAAGCATCAGTACTCACCCAGTAATGTGTGTAGTGCCCCCCTGAGGATCCAATTGAGTACCTTCTGGCGACGCTCCCATTCAGGTTCTTCGTAATTTTCTGAAAGATTCGCATCCCCGGAAAGAATGGGAATGTTTCCATTGAGCATTTGGGCTCGTGAAGCCCTGCCGTGTCCCCTGCAAAGCTTCTCAGAACCTTTCCGAAGCTCTTTCCTGTTTTTCCATGTTGAGTCATTTTGAGGTTCACTGGGCATGCGTCAAATAGGTGGACCTTGGTTTCCTGTGCTTCAACCAGCCCCAAAAAGGGTACCCTCAAAAAACAGACCGTCAACAAAGGGTGCCATCTGAAAATCTGACCGTCAAGGGGAAGAAGCCGTAGCCGCTGTAGCCCAAGGTCAACGAGCAAGCTGAACAGTTGCGAGTGGCTCAAGATCAGCTCTCATCGCTGGCGGAGACTCTGCAAGAGCAGGCGTGGGTACCCTTTGGCTCCCCGGTAAACGACCCAAGCCTCCTCTCTAAGCAGCTATTGGTTATCGAAACAGGGCAAGTCAACAACCCTGAAATGAGAGTGCCGTCATCAAGTCTTAATCTTAGGCTCCAAAACAACCCCGGGGTTAGACGTGTCAGCAAAAAAATTATGGACCAATTCTTCGTATTCCATCAACATGAAGGTGAGTGAACATGAAGGTGAGTGGACTGCCTCCATCAAGGGAGGCGTTGGATGTTGCCAGAACCTTCCCCCCTCCCTTGCACAACCTTGCCGAGAGAAAGATACTGAGAAAACATTTCAAGAGGGATATAGAGATAAAAAAGGGATATTATAGAGTCACGCAGAAATAGAGACACACAAAGATATATAGAGATATAGAATGTTACAGATTGAGAGGGAGGGAGAGAAACAGAGAGATAGAGAAAGAGAGATGGGGAGAAAGAAAGAAGAGAAAAAGAGAACAACAAACAAGGAAACAAGGAGATAAACGAGAAAGGAATAAAAAGAGAAACAGGGCAAGAGAGAAACAGGGCAAGAGAGAAACAGAGAGAGAGAAAGGGATAGGGGAAAGAAGGAAATTATATATATATATATAGAAATATTTCCAAACCTGACAGGAAAGGGTTGTTGGATTTTATGTTGGAATCCGCGTTTGCGATGCTTCTACACCACGCTCCAACCAGTTTCCCGTGGATTCCGCCGAGTATCCCGCCAGAGCAGCTCGCCAGTGAATCCCGCCAAGTATGCTGCTCGCCAGTGGATCCCGCCCAGTACCCAGCTCTGGCGACCCTGCCGAGTATCCCACCAGTGGATCCCGCCGAGTATCCTGCCAGAGCGGTTAGTGGATCCCGCCAAGTATCCCGCCAGAGCGGCTCGCCAGTGCATCCCGCCGAGTATCCCGCCAGAGCGGTCTGTCAGTGGATCCCGGTATCCCGCCAGAGCGGCTCGCTAGTGGATCTTGCAGAGAATCCCGCCAGAGCAGCTGGCCAGTGACCAGAGCAGCCCGCCAGTTGATCCCGCCGAGTATCCCGCTGTGTATTTGTTGTGGGTGGATCCTGCCGAGTATCCGGCCAGCATCAAGCCGGAGCGGCTCGCCAGCGTTCGCTAGTGGATCCCGCCAGTGTCCCGCCAGAGCAGCTAGTTTTGCTTAATGCGGCACACAGCGGGGTTAACATTTCATGTTGGCGCCTTCGTGTTTTGAGTGCACCCTGAGGCTCGGAAAGCGTGATGCTTTTGTGTTGCTTTGGGTTGCGAAAAAGCAACTTCGTTTAATCCCCCGCCGGGTTTCTTTTTGCCTTTGTTAACGGAACCGATGTTTGAGTTCTCGAGATCGGCTCGCAGACAAGTGGCGTTTGACACACAGACAGGTGGATAAGGCTCTCAATGCAAAGCTTGTTGAGCAGTCATAAGCCCCAAGCCACTCGAAAACCATGCTTGAATTCACACAACCGTGTTCACGGTCGTAAGCTCGTGAGTGTGGACGGTGGGGATTGCTCGAAGCGAAGAATTAAAAAATGATATGGATTGGTTTTAGGGATTGTTGATTGGAAATTATCCAAGATTTGAAAAATGTTAGGTTATGCTATGAAAATTCAAAGCGAAAATTCAAAGAACCCTTGAAATTTCGATAATATTTTGATTTTCGTTCCGCACTAAAAGGAGTCGGAAGGTATTGGAAGCCCTCTTCCGGATTTTCCACTCCAGTGAGTTGCCTGAAGTCACCTGGAGCTATAATGTATATCGCAAGGTTGCTCGTCACCGATAAACTCACGTTTATCCCCAAGAACTCGGATTTTTGACTGGACAAGCTTCGTCCCATTGTCATTGAAGCGCCCGTCGTGCTTCTGCGAATTTTGCCATTGCTCTTCAACTTTACTAACTCTCCTGCAGTTCCGGCTCCTATTTATGTTGCGTTCCATGCAATCTTTAATGACGAAATGATCGACCCTGTTCAGCATGTGATGCAGTCTCCGCAACGCCTCTACGCGACAACATTTCCGATGTCTTTGCTTGCTGCGGCTCTCCTCCTCAGCATTTGGGCCAGTGCTCTTCCTGCTGACACCAACGCTTTCATTCATGGACATTCGTTCCCTGGGCCATGACACTAGTCATCTGCAGTTGGCTGACTCTCAGTGGGACGCTGATCACACTCTCGATTCCAAGCCCAAGGCTGTGTATGTTTCTACCTGTCCTACTCCCTCTAGGATTCAGTGGAGCGACGGTTGTCCGCTCTGTCTTGCTGAGTCACTTGGCATGCCCACTTCGTCAGATTCAAAAGCTTGTTTTCGGGATTCGGAAGGTGTTGCATGCCGGGCAGCTTATACGCAGATGTGGCATCTCTACTCGTGCTGCACTGATGATGCAGCAAAAAGTGTCCTGTTCGGCCCACAGCTGCTTGATTGGCTTGCTGGCTTTCGACGAGCGTCCACGAATCACACCTTGGTACTTTCCTCGCCAAGTTACTCTTTGGGTTCGGCGTCAAGAAGCTCAACCCCTTTTACATGTTGTTCTGCAGATCTCTCTTGCAGTGGTGCCAAATGTGGAGCCTGGCACCTGTTTTTATTTCGCGCATGCTCTTTTCTTTTGACAGAAGCTTGCGTAGCGGTGCTTTGTGACTCTCTCGCTTAACCTCGAATTCACTAATCGCACGCTATCTACTGATGCTGAGGAAGTTCTTGACGGTATGACCAGGTGCTTGTTGACTTTCTCCATTCCTCCAAGTACACTATCTTCAGGAAATTAAGGTGCAAGATCTGGTTGGGGCCTCATATCAGGAAGTGGGCAGGGCCAGTCCGCCCAGTGGTCAGCTACTGCACAAGTGTGCGTGCGCGCATGCTGTTCCAACCAAGGAAATGCGCTCCGCATCGCAAGTTTCATTCAGTCTGTCAAAGCAGCAAGTTTTTGCTGTAGCGCATCAAGGGCGTGTTCAAGCCACGAGGAAAAGTGGCCGCTGGTCCAGCGAAGTAGAGAGATCCCAGGTGGCCCCGGCAACATCTTGCCATTTGATAGACTTGGACTGACGGCTCACAAAGTAGCGACCTTGGAAAGGAACTGCAGATCATTGGTCCTTGCATTGGTCCATGGCAAAGCTAAGTTAAGCACTGGCAATACTAAACAGCTACATGTAGTGCTGGCTGAACAGAACTTGGTGCTGGCAACTGGCAATACTAAATTGTAAATTGGCAATACTAAATTGAATACTGGCAGTACTAAATTAAGTTCTGGCAATGCTAAATTACGCACTGGCAATACTAAGTTAAGTACTGGCAATTCTACATATAGCCATGGCAATGCTAAATTAAGTACTGGCATTGATAATTTCTTTGAACGCCTAGTAAAAAACTGGTCCCTGCATTTACAGGGTTTGCAGCAAGGTAGCAACGTTTGCAACACCTCATGGCCCGATGGATCGTAATATGTACGGAGTACTATATTTAGTGCTGGCAGTACGGAGTTTAGTGCTGGACACTGGCAACACGAAATTGTGAATTTGCAATGCTAAATTAAGCACCGGCAATGCCAACTTGAGGCAGCTCAGGATTCTGAAATGGCACAGCTAGACTAAGTACTGGCAAGGCATTGTCGTTCTCTTTGAACGCCCAGTCAAAGGTTTCTATCCTTTCTGCAGTCCCTGTATTAACAGGGTCTGCAGCAGCTAGAAACTTTTGCAACACCTTACAGCCCCTTGGATCATAGCATGCACGCAAAACACAAATGTTGGGAGTGGGATACCGAATTTAGTACAGGCAAGCGGTAATATTTAATTGTGATAATATTAAATTCAGTACTAGCAATACTAGATTCAATGCTGGAAAAGCTAAATTAAGCACTGGCAATGTAATTTCAATCATTGGCGATGCTAAATTAAGTTCTGGCGGCCCTGTATTTTGCAGGGTCTGCAGGTTAAATAGTGACTTAGTACTGGTGGGCTTGGGCAAATACCAGCCAAAAAGGAAAGCCCCTTTTCTGGCAGGTTTTTGGGATTGGGGGGCTGCTGCGGGGTCCGTTTCATCAGGGGGGTCTTTGAGGAGGCCTGAAAAAATTGGGTAGGTTCTTTTGGTTAATCTTGTTGGCCCTTTACTTTGTATTCTTGGGAATCTGGGAGCTTTAATTGGGGGAGTTACTCATCGCCTGCTCACATCACATTGTGTACAGCACCCACCCACCCACCCACGCGTGCGTGCGAGTGGGTTGGAAGAATGGCCCCAAACGCGAGCGATGCAGGCCGAAACATAGGGGCGATGCTGGCAGTGCAGTTTTGAGCTTTCCCCCAATTCGGGCTCCAATCGCGCTGATGATACGCCGAAGGCGCTGGGCATGCAGACGGTGCGAGGGGTCGGCGGCAGCGACCGTCAGTCGGAAGGCAAAGCCTAGGCGCGCGGCCCGTTGGGCAACATAGCTCGGCGAGGCCGGAGTTACAGCCGGAGAGCTTTTCCGTGCGCTTCCTTTCAGCTCCCTGCGTTTCCCTTCATTGGCAGCCGCTTCCCTTAATTCCCTTCATTTCCACGTATTTCGCGTGACTCTTTTTTTATTTTTCTACTTCACTTCAGTTTTCAGTTCCCCCTTCCTCACCCTTTCACTTCACTTCCTTCCCCCTTCATTTCCCTTGATTTTCTGTTATTTCCCTTTATTTTCTTTCAGCGCCCTTCATGTGCAATCATTTCCCTTCATGGCCTTTCATGTCCTGCCGCTTCTTTCATTTCCTTTCGCCCCCCTACATGTTTCAGTTTCCCTTGGTTCCCCTTTCATTTCCGCCAAAGAGGCCGCCTGCGCTTGCAACGCCAACAACAGCAGCAACTGCACACCAACAACAACCACCACAGCCACAAGAACAACAACAAACAGCAGCAGCAATATCCGAAACAACAACATCAGCAGCGGCAAAAACTGCGGAGTAAGAGCTGGCACATATGAAGCTCAGAGCGCCGGCGCTGCCGCGGACGGTTGCGCGCCAGCGACGCAAATCCAGCCAGACCGAA